CTGCGGCCGTGGCAGTGTGTGCAACAGAGATGTGCCGCGCAGGAGACCTGGGCAAAGACACTCGCGCCGGCGTGGTTGTTACTGAGTGAAGGTGCAACCGGGCTACAACCGTGTTATGTTGTGAGAGGAAAAAAGTGCACTAGTGTGGCCTTAACCAGTTTGAAATTCTAAGTAGGTCACCTGTCAGGGGGTTAACAGTCACGCTGTGTGCTTTTTTAAAGTTCTTAGTTGAAAAACACAATGATTATTTTTGTCATTTAAATTTTGCTGTTTTGCCTTGATTGATCTGTAGATGATGAACTCCGAAAAGAGGGGATGTGTCCTTACTGTTTCCAGTTCCTCGTTCCTGATAACCACCGCGTGCGTCTCAAACCTAAGATGAAGGTGACTCCGCGGATAGAGAGGGTTCTGAGACGAGAGACAAAGAACCATAAACACAACATGAAGCAGACAAAGCTGTTGAGAAAGTACAGAGACTCGAGAAGTGTTTTGGTAAGGGTGTTTGCTTGGAACCGCAAAGTTACTAATATTTCCCTGAAACCTTTTCATTAGCACAGGAGGCATAATATGCACGTCTTCCACTTGGAAGTGGAGCTCTCACCTACACATCTCTACCTTCATGAGCACAAAACTCTTTTTTTTTTTTTTTTTTTTTTTTGGGGAGAGCTTCTGTTCACATTCACAGTCAACACTTTGAAATCTACTCTCCACAGCAGTGAGATCAAGAGCACAATGGTATGAGCAGACATGCCTTATTTCCTTTCCCCTAAAAAAACATGTCAGCAAAGCTACACAAACAACACTGCACTTCCTGTGATCTTTCTCTTTGGCAGCATTTTGGACAGGCTCTGTAGGCATCTAAGAGCTTGCTTTAAATTAAGTAATTTCTTCCTGCCAAGAAGCTTCAGCATTTCCACTGTCCGTGATTGTATCAGTCGTATCATTTGCATAGTTATGCAAAAATAGCAAGAATGTCGGAGTTTGTCTGCTTCTTTTGTCCAATTTGTATAAGTATGGTAAAACTAGGACCAGTGATCTATGCTACATGCAAAGCATTGCTATGAATCTCCCCAAAAATATGCCTAAGAATTCAGATGTGCACCAAAGATAAGGCTTTACTGAAGTCAGGCTGTTTTTACCCAGATGTTTCAGATCAAAAGAAGAGTTGAGTGACTGAAACTTTTTTGTGTTGTTGTTCAGTTGTATGTGTGGTTTAAAAGTATATTAACTAAATTTAAAAGCTTTACTTCATTTATATCCATAGGCCATGGTAACCAAAACATTTTACTTGTACCTTGTGCATAAGTTGAATTGCTTAAAACTTTAATATTAGCCAAATATTAGTCTGTAAATGAAGTGTTTCAAAACTAAACCGTATATGTCATATAAGCAGAGATAAGGTTGCTTTGAGGCTTTAGGGTTTTTTTATAAAATTATCTAAGACTATAAATCTAATATTTTGAAGAATAAAAGTATATATTTAATCTACTATTGCTGAGGCATACTGAAATATAAAAACAAGACATGCAAACAGATATCTTAATAAATGAGAGCACTCTGCTAGGTCTGAAAGTTACTAGTATATTTGATGTGTTCTCAGACAAGAATCTGCTGATTTGTCAAGTAATATTTGCAGAACTAAAAGTGATTAGAGAGCCAATAACACAAAATGAAACTCAGGAAATACAGATGTCATCAGCTGTCAGGATTATTATTATTATTACTCCCTTACTGAGTTTTGATCACTTTGTGTATCATATTTTTCAGTGAAATATGAACACCACTGATGTATATTCAGCCAGTTCAGATGCTGTTTCATCTTTCTGTTCTGCTGGGGTTGTTTTTCCTAGCTCACTGCATCACATGTTTGCATTTAGATTTAAAGGCCTCCTGAAATTAGTTGCCAGGGATTGGAGTCATTTCTAGATAAACCCATGGGACCTAGTTGGTTTATGAAGTGTGACTGAAAATACTCGCTGTAAAATACATGTTCCTTTTATAATCTCTGTGTTTCATCTAAGCAAATGTTTAACTAGTTGGGCTGGTGTCATGATATTCAGAGAATAGTTTGGATAATTCTTTATAGTGGCTTTGTAGTGTGAGGAGGAAAGACTGTTATAATGATGATATTTCCTTCCCTCTCTGTGCAGCTGGTTACTTGCAACTCGTGCAACAAAACAACAAAACATTATGGTAATAACAGAGATTTTCTGGCTACCATGACACACCATTCCATTAGAACCACTCCAACCATTAGAACTGGCCTTAAGACACCAGATCGGAAAAGTCCATTTGCAAACAAAATGACACCTGCAAGCTGCAGCAGGTCTGGATCTAAAGGAAAGAGTCCATCATCACTTCCCAGGTACATTTTTCTTTCCTATTTAAAGAGACATTTTACTGGGTAGAGTTGGGAAAGGAATTCATGCTCCGCTCAGTGGCTTCAGATTAAACTGATAGTTAAATTAGATTAATTTATAGATAAATTAATTGATAGTTAAATATTTTTCCTTAGTGATCTGAATAAAGGGATCAGCTTTGATATTTTAACCTTTAAAAACAAGGATTGTGATAAAAAGTGACAATGCGTAAAGAATGCACAATTATGTTATTGTTAGTAATATGCTTAAATTTTGCATAACTCGTAACTGCTCACTTTCATGTGAAAATACACTACTTTTCACACATATGTATTTGCGCTTTCATACAGTTACTTTATACTAATTCTAGTATCTCACCTTTAAGATATTTGAGTCGTTTATTTTTCAGAACTTGTATACCTGGACAGACATCAAACAGCTCTTTTTCCAAGACTCCTCGAAACTCCAAATATCACTTTTCTAAGCTAAAATGGATGCTTAATCTGGAAGAAAAAGAGGAAAGTCAGAAGACAGATTTGAAAACCTTAACTTTACTTTAATTATTCATTATTGCAAAATAATAGAAATTACAGCAATAAGTATTTTTCCAGTTGTAGTAGATCAACAAAATTTGTGATTTCTTTAAAACTCAGACTAATGGTATTTATTGTATAAGAACAAACCGTGGTTTGTGGAAACCACTGTTTCTGTGGAATCTGACTGCCTGCAAAATGAAATAATCGGTCTAGTATGTTTGGGACTCTTGAGCATGTTTTGCAGTCTCTAATGGCCCAAGAATTAAAAGTCAAAATCTATTCTTTGAGGAAGCAGACAATACTGGCCCCATTCCTGTACCTATTTCCTCCATTTCTTTCCCCTTCCCCTAGTTTTAAGTTTACGTATCACAATAGAATTTGAAAGATCTCATCCTTACCGTGTTTGAGTTAAAAATGGACACTTCAGTTGAGAAATTCTGCAGGTACCATATGTTCAAGAGGTCTGCCTGACTGTCCTGTAGAGTCACTGTCTTTTGACACAGCAATTTAAATGTTACTACACAGTCAAAGGTAACAACTTAATCTTTGAGATAGCACTAATACAAAGAGAGACAGAACAGTATCCATTCATCCAGATTAAGTTTCTTTATCATGTTTTGTGATTTGGACCACAGTTGCTGCTCCTCCCAAGGTAACATAGAACCTTGTGAGATGGCACTGTAATGCAGGAAGATCTGAATATACCTCCCAAGAGCTTCACACTAGACCTGCCCCATTACTTCTATGAGTACTATAGCCATAAAGTAAACAGGATGTTTCCTTTTTGATTGTTACCAAAATGTGTCACTTTTTTTTTTTTCAAAAATAGCTGAGGAAAGAACCTCTTTTTTTAAAAAAAAATATCTTTCAGTTTTGAGAGACCTCAGACTTCATAGTTCCTTCCTTCCTGGAGTTAAGTCTGGAAAAGTAGGCTTGCTCAGGACAGTGATCGTTTTATTCCCTATTTCTTCCCCTCTCCTCCCCACCCCCCACCCACTGTCAATTTTCATGTGGTCAAGGTTGAAGTGCTCCTCCACTGTCAGATTTTACATTTTCAATTCAGGACAGGAGGTGAGAAAGGACAATAGAAGCCACAAGGCAGGATGGAGCGTATAGGCTGCTCTGCATACGGTGTGCAGTGGCAGTTCTGCAAATCATGCTTCAGACTTCCTCTTTCAAAAGAGAATCAACAGATGAAAAACCTCTATGTTTGATTTTGAAGTTCTGTATTTCCCAGTTTGTATTTTAATAAATAGATCCTTTTAAGTGCATTCAGATTCAATGCATGCCAATAAGGAATAGGACCAACAAGTAAGTTGGCAGGCTTGAAAGCAGTCAAAAGATAGAGGAAATAAAGGTTGTTGCAAATTCTGTTTACCATATCAAAGATTGATATGTAACCTTTTTATATCTCCTGACCATATACAGAACAGTTTTGAAAGATTTATTTCAGATTGTTTCTTATGTACATGTAAGATCAAATTAAGTACCATTATAGGGCTGAAACAGGGACCTTGAAGTTGCACTTTTTTTCTGATGTAAAACTTTTTATTAATTTATCTGTTCTTAGTATGTTTGTTATCCAATATTCTGGGAGAATACTTCAGTCTTGGAGAATGTATATTATTAAAAAAATGAAAAACAAGTTTCATAATAAATTTTTATATTAGAAGTGTGTACTTACGTTACATTATTGCTAAGACTTACATGACAATGGCCTGGGCAGCTGGTAAAGTTAAAAGTGCATCAACAGTAATTTTTTTATGTCACACCAAGAGTGTGCTTTTTGAGCCTATCTCCTGTTTGTCCCTGTGTGCTTTTTTATACAACACTGTGGTCTCAAGAGTTCATGAACCACCTTTCTTTTTGATAATTCTGTGGATTGTGGATAAAAGCACAGAAGAGATGCTCCAAGGGTACAATTAATGTGTTAACTGTTAATGGGCAGTGGGTCCCTAGGACCACACTTGAGTTAGCCTGAAGTACAAATCCCTAAGAAAATGTATTGCAGTTGCCAAATAACCCCATATAATGAAATGTTGCTTAATGCAACCAGCTCTCAGAATCACGAAATTGTAGAGGTTGGAAAGGACCTCTGGAGATCGTCTAGTACAATCCCGCTGCTCAGGGTCACCTAGAGCATATTGCTCACAATTATGTCCTGATATTTACATATGTATATGTATATATGCATATACATATGTTCCTGCTCAGTCAAAAAGTCAGTATCTGATTTTTGAATATCTTCAAGGATGGAGACTACTCCCTAACTTCTCTGGGCAGGATGTGCTCAGTTGCCCCTCAGAGTTAAAAATCTTTCCCTTAGACTCAGATGGAACTGCCTGTTACCTGTCACCCTGTCCCAGGGCACCACTGAAGAGAGTCAGGACCCAGACTTTTCAAACCCTTCAGATATTGCTAAACATGGATAAGATCCCATTTCAATCTTCTCCACCCTGCTCTCTCAGCATTTGCTCATAGGAAAGATGCTCCAGCCTCTTAATCATCTTTGCAGACATACACTGCAGGCCTCTCCAGTAACTCCACCTCTATCTTCTACTGGGGAGCCCCAAACTAGACACAGCACTCCAGCGAGGCCTCACCAGGGCTAAGGTATAGTTAGGGAGGATCACCTTCCCCGCAACCTGTTGGCATTGCTCTGCCTAATGCAGCTGAGGATACCCTTGGCCTTCTTGGCCACAAGGACCTATTGCTGGCTCATGGTTAGCTTGTTATCCATCAGGGCTCCTGCCTTCTTTGATTTTTGCATTGCAATCTTGGCAGGATAACCCAAGGTCCATGTGTCCTTAAGTAAGTAAGGGAACTGTCTTCATTCAACAGCCTGTGAGAGCTGCTTGCTTCCTGCTCTGCCCTGCGCAGACGAAGAGGTTGCAGGGAGCTAAGCTGGGACTGCCAGGGATTCAGAGTGACCCCGCAAACCGAGTACCTGGAGGTGCTTTGAAGGAGGTGAGGAGCCAGGCTGCTCTCTGCTCTGAGCACAAGCAATAGGCAGACTCCCAGCAGGAGGCTCTTCTCTGGGTTTTGAGACCTTCTGTAGGAACTCCCTCTTCCCTTTGGCCAGTCCTTGTGCTTGAGAACAGCAGAGCAAATCATTGACTGCTTAAAGGAGGAGGAGAAAGGTGTCCAGAAGGCTGGGTGATACTGGTGATGGTAGGCTGGGTGGCCAGGTTGTGGCCTTTGCTTTCCTGATGAAGATGTGCCTGGGCAGCAAGCAGCAGTCTGGATGTGGGAGGGAGTAGAAGGAAGCTTTTAACCTAGTTGCTATGCTCTTTCCTGCTGCGCCCTGTGGCTGGGCTTGCAGAGGATGGAAATGCCAGAGCAAGAGCATGTAGGAAGGAGCCTTTGTGCTGCACTGCTCTGTGCTGTTCTCGGGGTGCATTTGGGGAGTATGGAGAGAGGCTTTTCAGGAGAGGTGGCCCTGAGCCCACACTCAGGCCTGCTTGCCTCCCCTGCAGGATGGAGCAACTGAGGCAGTCCTGAAGCTGAGGGCAGCTGAGGTGTCCCCAGGGCCTGCAGCAGATGCTGTGCAGCCTGCTGCTGGCAGAGCCTGTTCTGCTGAGGAGAGAGCACAGAGTGCAGCTTCCAGGGCAGGGGAGTCCTCATGCAAGTCCACAAAGCAGGGGACCAACAGGCAGCAGCAGCCCATGCAGGCTCACAGGTGGTAGCAGGCCTTGTAGAGCTGCTTTGCCAGTGCACAGAGGTGCCAGGAGGCCAGCAGTACCCTGTTGCTACTGGTATGACCTGCTCTGGCAAGAGGGTCCCAGGTTGGCCCCATCTCAGGGCAGCATGCGGGAACACATCCCTGCGAGCTGCGGCAGCACTTCCACTCTGTACTCTGCTTCCTCCGCTGCAAGGCAGAGCAGCTGCCTGGCCAGTAAGGGATCACGGGTGGTGCTGGTGACCCACATGGTGATCCTTTCATTTTACACGGCCAGAGACACATGCTCCCTGTGCAGCTGGGCCAACTGGGGAAGTGAGAGCTGTTCAAGGGACTTCCGCTGCCTGTTCTGCGTGGGTGTGGAGGAGCTGGGCCAAAGCCATCCCTCCAGCTACGTCCTAGAAGTGGAGAGCCTGAGCACCTCTGGGTCCTGCGGCGATGCAGAGGACCATGTTGTGAGCCATGCTTGTAGCTCAAACCCAGATGCTGCTGGGGAGAGAAGTTACCACCTCTCCAGGGATGGAGGACTGCAGGACAAGAGGTGCAGTACTAGCCCTGCTGAAGGCACTGGCAGGCTGTGAAGATGCCTGCACGGGGTGGATATTGAGACAAGGGATCATCACCACCTCTTCAGCTCGACTAGCAGCGGATATAGTGGTGAGCGAATCGCAGAATGGTTGGAAGGGTCCAAAACCTGTCAAGGTGGGATCCTGTGCAATGTTTGTGCAAGACTGTTGGACTAGGTGATTTCCAGAGGTCACTCAATTGGTGTGTAATTCTGTGACCTCTGGAAATCACCTAGCCCAACCCCCTATCTTGCACAAGATCATGTCCAGACAGCTTTTAAATATTTCCAGGGAAGGAGACCCCGCAATCTCTTCCATTGTTCTGTCATCCTCACAATAAAGAAGCTTTTCCTCATTTTCTGATGGAACTTCCTTTGTTTGAGTTTGTGCCCACTGCCTATTATGGAGTGGTCAACAATAGTTGAGCACTGCTGAAAAGTCTGGCTCTAGCCTTTTGACACCCTCCCTTATGGCACATCCTCAGTATGCACTGATACGATCCCCTCTCAGCCTTCTCATGTCTAGGCTGAACAGGTGCAGCTCTCTCAGCCCTTCCTCATAGAAGTGCTCCAGTCCCCCTATTGTGGACTGTCTCCAGTAGCTTCATGTCTCTATTGGCCCAGGAAGTCAAGCCCAGCACCAGGGCTGAAGAGGCAGGGAGGATCACCTCCCCTCAACCTGCTGGCAATGCTCTGCCTAATTCATCTGAGGATACTATGAGCCTTCTTGAACACAAGAGCATGTTGCTGGCTCGTGGTTAACTCGTTATCCATCCAGGTTCCCAGGTCCTTCTCTGTAGAGCTGTTTTCCAGCAGGTCAACCCCCAACCTGTTCTGGTGCATGGGGTGATTCCTGCCTAGCTACAGGTCTGCTCTTGCGTTTGTTGAACT